GTAATTTTGCAGTGTAACTGCAGTTACAGCACAGTATAACTGCAGTTCAACTGTAGTTATTCTGCAATTACTGCGTCCAAAATACCACAGTCGACTGCAGTTACTGCACTTTTACTGTAATTTCAAAACTGCAATCTTTTTTTGTAAGGGGCCCTCCAGACGAAGCAAATCAAGTTGCAGTCTTCTTAGGGAGGGGTACCCAGACTTCCCATGAAAGCTCTGCGACCCAAGGCTGGCAATTTGCTTCAGGAAAGATGGCTGACAAAAAGACTAGGATGGAAGCAAATGTAAGTAATTATAACTTCATAACGAATCAAGCAAAACATTTACACTTAAGAGCAATGTGCTAGTTAACGTAGAGACAAACGATTATGCATATTTTGTGATGGTGAATCGTGGTGAAATATCTTTTCAATAACAACAAATATAGTTTTTACAGCTGTGTGAAGCTGGTGGACCAAAATCTTGAAACAGTGGTTTTGGTCCACCAGTTTCAAACAGCTGTAAAATATTTGTTGTTATTGAAAAGGTATTTCACAGCGATTTGGATTCCATACACTATTCAGTGCTTGTTTTCTCACATAAACTGAAATTGAGCGAAACGTGTAGAATTTTAGCAACCAGGAAATGACAGAGCGATTTCCACTAGATAACACAGCCAATCACAACACTGGCGGGTAAATAATACTGTGAAACATTATCATTCCACTATTACTGCAGATACATTATGGACTTTTTCTGAAATTACAATGCAAAATAAAACAAAATCCTGTGTGCACCTTTAATTCCTACCTTGCTTGCCATGGCATTAGCTACTAGCTAGCTTTGAAAGGATGTAGCTAGATAGTTTTCAATTATGTATCAATACGACCTGACTAGCTAATATCCCTGCTAGCTAGCTCACTTTAGCTAGCTCTAATTTGCAAGCTAACGTAAGCTAGCATTCGAGGGCTGACTGTTCTCATAAAAGTTTATCGTGTAGTGCAAAAATAAATGAAGGATCCAGCTAAGGTCTTAATTCGTGTCAAGCAGTACTGCTTGTCCATGTGCTAGCTAACAGCAACAAACCCAGACGAGGTAAACATCACTGGGGCCACCCATCCAGGACAGACACAGTGCCTGAGGAAGGCCCGCAGAATCATCAAGGACCCCACACACCCCAGCCACGAGCTGTTCACTCCCTTACCGTCGGGCAGACCGTATCGGTGCATGAGTTCTGATACCAACAGGCTCAAAGACAGTTTCTATCTACAAGCCATCAGACTGCTGAACACTTGGACTGGACTGACCACCTGCATGGACTCTCCACACCTTAGCACACATGCACTCACACACGCACACACCCAAACAGATATACACTCATTCACACGGATCACGTCTGCTGCTACCAGACTGTATAAAATGTGTATCCTGCACATACTAACAAAACTTGAAACTTAAACGTGTCAGCATTGATCAGTTGGGGGTTACTCAGTAACAGCAGGGCTGGCACCAGTTGTGAAACTGGGCTGCGCTGCCCTGTGTTTCCCCCAACCCAGCTCGAATTTGGCCCTAATTCAAAGTGTCAATGGAAACAGGGCTTGAGTGAAGGAAATATGATGTCAAACTACTATTTATGGCATGAAAGTTCTGCTTCAGTACTACTCCACATTGAACCACAGCCAGAGGATGGGTAGGCTACATTACGGCCACGTTGTTGTTTTGCTGTACTAATTTGTTGCTCATAGTGGCGCAGTGGTCTAAAGCACTGCATTGCAGTGCTAGCTGTGCCACTAGAGATCCTGGTTTGAATCCAGGCTCTGTTGTAGCCGGCCGCAACCGGGAGACCCATGGGGCGGCGCACAATTGGCCCAGCGTCGTCCAGGGTAGGGAAGGGAATGGCCGGCAGGGATGTAGCTCAGTTGGTAGAGCATGGCATTTGCAACGCCAGGCTTGTGGGTTCGATTCCCACGGGGGGCCAGTATAAAAAAATTACAAAAATAATGTATGCACTCACTAACTGTAAGTCGTTCTGGATAAGAGCGTCTGCTAAATGACTAAAAATGTAAAGGTACGTAGGTATTTGTTGCATGAGAAATACAATATAAGGAATGCTATTACTGCCACCAGTACGCAAAATGCCCTTTCGTATATGAGGCAAAATCATTAATATTCATGAGTTACGTCGGGTGATTTGTTGAGCCTTCTTGGGTGTGATGTCACACAAGATGCGCTGCCAGGCCGTCTGTTTAGCTTGCTCGCCGGCATGAGCAGTGAGCACCAAATGACTTGGGAAACCCAGCTTCAGCTTAATTAATTGTGAAATAAATGAAAGCGTCACCAGCTAGCTACCAATCTATTTTAGTTTCACTGTCTGAACGAGTCCACTAATTGTTATTTTTATCTTTTAACAAACTGTCTGTTTCTTGATGTTAACCCAAATACATAAAATAACAGGAAATCCACGATTAGTTGGCTAGTAGTGGCTACTCCCTGGCCAGTGAGCTAGCTACAGTACATTTCAGTAATTTAGCTATCCTCCTAAATGCGATGGTCAGTGGATAAACTAACTATGAGTTGAACATATCCGTTTGAAAATGTCACCAGATAATGTTGCCCATGCCATGGTGTTATCATGCCTAACCAATTGGCTATTGTAGCCCGGGTGCCCATGAGCTCCTGAGTCTAGCTAGCGGCGTTGTTTGGGGTCCACGATTAGCTAACTGTTAGCTAGTTAGTTGGCTACTACCTGGCCAGTGTGAGCCAGCATGCTAGCTACATTTCAGTCAGTAGCTATCCTTCTAAATGCGGTGGTCACTGGATAAACTAGCTATGAGTTGAACATACTTTGGTGAAAACCCTTACGAAAAGATTGCAGTCAGAGTGCAGTATGATACAAATACTGCATTAAAAATAACACCTTTTTTTTTACTGCAGTACGTTTGCAGTGTAACTGCAGTTACAGTGCAGTTCAACTGCAGTACACTACAGTTATTCTGCAATTACTGCATCCAAAATACCACAGTCGACTGCAGTTACTGCACTTATATTGCAGTTTCAAAACTGCAACTTTTTTTTGTAAGGGAACTAACTAGTAAAACACAAAGCTCGTCGCTAATGATTTGCGTTGTATCTGTTGGCGGCTTCTGATGTGCGCGAGTCTAGTGACGTCCCATTCCCCAGGGTTATTTATTTCTCCCTAAATCAAAATCAGAGATTATTTATCGCGTACATAGATTAGCAGATGTTAAAGCAGGGGCAGCTAAATGCTTTTGCTCCTAGCTCCAGTAGTACAGTAAATATCTAACGCCTCGATCAGACCAACAGCGCCATCGTGTTTTGGTACACCTGAAGTACATTCATTTCCAATGGAACGCTGCGTTGCAGAGGCAGTTGCAGTGCATTCTGTGTGTTGCATACGTTGTTTATATCAAATTGTATTAATAGATTTGACAGAAATAGTAGCAGAAGGTAAATGTTTAACTGTTTTTGCACACTAAAATGTGGGATTACATAATGCAAAGTTTTGACTGCAGAATTTCTTAAGACTTTTTAATTAAGTAATTTGCCAAGTAATATATGATTTATTTGATGATATCTACAAATGTGTTGTGACAGCCTATAAAATAATTTATCTCAAATGCATCGTTTTGGAGGGAATTGCAATAATAGTCAAGATAGTAGAGTAGTAGGCACTTTCAACAATGAGACCAACGTTGAGGAAGGTGGTCTTGATCGTGCTGTTGGACCGGGACCAGCCCCGCTGAAAGCACATGTCTGTGGGTCCAGGGATGGCTGAAGTCCCGAAAGCAGGCAGGGGAGTTCCATCGTCTCATTCAAGAGCTTCAACTGTTTGGATAAGAATTCCGGGGCTACTTTCGTCTGGACCGAGGCCAGCTCGATCACCTGCTCCAGATGGTTGGAGCCAGGATGGATACCAACTACCGGGAGTCCATCAACCCAGTTGGACTTCTGGCGATTGGTATCCTTTAAGCTAATTTAAAGTGCATTTTTAAAGCCTTTGATACCGTAATTGGGCTCCCTAGTTAGTAAGGGCTCCCTAGTTAATGTGACATCAGATGTACTTTTACAGAATGATCATTAGGCCTATTACTTTTCCCAAAGTTGGTTTAAAATAGTTTTCTTGTTTTTTATTGGGACAGTCATAGACTGAATTGTACTGTTACAAGACATTGTTAATGATGGTTGATGATACAATATAATTAGTAGAGCATAATAAACAATAGTGAGGTAGCTATATGAGTAGATAGAATATGTGGGTGGAATTCAGGTTACACACAATATTGATACTTATTTTGAATTATATTTCTGATTCCTGGCGACGGGACTCCTACAGGACATTTCGATTCAGCTTCCGAGTTGGATGGTCCACGGTGGCAAGCATTGTCCCCTCTGTGGCACAAGCGATTTAGGACTGTCCCCAAGGAGGAAGACTGGAAGGCCATCGCTGCTTAGTTCCAGGAGAGGTGGGATTTCCCCAACTGACTTGGCTCCATTGACAGGAAACATGTTGTGATCCAGGCTCCACCTTCATTGGGTTCACAATTCTACAACTACAAGTTTACATATCCAGTTGTACTCTTGGCTGTTGTCGATGCCAACTACTGTTTCCGTGTCGTCGATGTTGGTGCTTACGGCAAGGGAAGTGTTGGTGAGACTGCCTTCGGCCAGGCACTTCAGGATGGCACCCGGCACTTCGGGATGGCACCCTGGAGATTCCACCACCTGCACCACTCCCTGGGGCTGAAGATCTGGGACCCATTCCCCACATCTTCGTCAGCGACGCTTGAGGCCCAACCTGATGAGGCCCTATGCTGGACGGCAGCTGCCATTGCCAAGGCCTGTAAGGACCTTTAACAAATGACTGTCCAGGGCAAGATTAGCTGTTGAACGTGCCTTTGGGATTCTGGCAGCACGGTGGAGGATGTATCGGAGAGTGTTTGGTCTCAGCCCCTCAAATTTCGATGCCTGCATGAAGGCCATGTGTTCTTTACAACTACATGTGGATGGCACCCCAGGAACCACTCCGGACGGAGGTGGAAACACCAAATGGTAATCTACTTGATGTCACCAGGGCAGGTGCCAACAACAATCCCAGACAGGCACTCCAGGTGAGGGAGAAGCTGACCACCTACTTCTCATCGCCAGCAGGTGAAGTCCCTTGGCAGCATGCAGTGGAGTGAAACGGCTCTTTTAAGAGCCCCCCTACAAAAAGGTTATTTTAAGAACCACCCACCGTTGTCAATAAAATAGCATTTTTTTTTCATGTCTCTTTTTCTCTCTTAATTTTTAAGTATTGCTGTAAAAACTAATTTCACTGATATAGGAATAGATTAACTACAGTGGGGGAAAAAAGTATTTAGTCAGCCACCAATTGTGCAAGTTCTCCCACTTCAAAAGATGAGAGAGGCCTGTAATTTTCATCATAGGTACACGTCAACTATGACAGACAAAATTAGAAGAAAAAAAATCCAGAAAATCACATTGTAGGATTTTTTATGAATTTATTTGCAAATTATGGTGGAAAATAAGTATTTGGTCAATAACAAACGTTTCTCAATACTTTGTTATATACCCTTTGTTGGCAATGACACAGGTCAAACGTTTTCTGTAAGACTTCACAAGGTTTTCACACACTGTTGCTGGTATTTTGGCCCATTCCTCCATGCAGATCTCCTCTAGAGCTTTGGTGCTGTCGCTGGGCAACATGGACTTTCAACTCCCTCCAAAGATTTTCTATGGGGTTGAGATCTGGAGACTGGCTAGGCCACTCCAGGACCTTGAAATGCTTCTTACGAAGCCACTCCTTCGTTGCCCGGGCGGTGTGTTTGGGATCATTGTCATGCTGAAAGACCCAGCCACGTTTCATCTTCAATGCCCTTGCTGATGGAAGGAGGTTTTCACTCAAAATCTCACGATACATGGCCCCATTCATTCTTTCCTTTACACGGATCAGTCGTCCTGGTCCCTTTGCAGAAAAACAGCCTCAAAGCATGATGTTTCCACCCCCATGATTCACAGTAGGTATGGTGTTCTTTGGATGCAACTCAGCATTCATTGTCCTCCAAACACGACGAGTTGAGTTTTTACTAAAAAGTTCTATTTTGGTTTCATCTGACCATATGACATTCTCCCAATCCTCTTCTGGATCATCCAAATGCACTCTAGCAAACTTCAGACGGGCCTGGACATGTACTGGCTTAAGCAGGGGGACACGTCTGGCACTGCAGGATTTGAGTCCCTGGCGGCGTAGTGTGTTACTGATGGTAGGCTTTGTTACTTTGGTCCCAGCTCTCTGCAGGTCATTCACTAGGTCCCCCCGTGTGGTTCTGGGATTTTTGCTCACCGTTCTTGTGATCATTTTGACCCCACGGGGTGAGATCTTGCGTGGAGCCCCAGATCGAGGGAGATTATCAGTGGTCTTGTATGTCTTCCATTTCCTAATAATTGCTCCCACAGTTGATTTCTTCAAACCAAGCTGCTTACCTATTGCAGATTCAGTCTTCCCAGCCTGGTGCAGGTCTACAATTTTGTTTCTGGTGTCCTTTGACAGCTCTTTGGTCTTGGCCATAGTGGAGTTTGGAGTGTGACTGTTTGAGGTTGTGGACAGGTGTCTTTTATACTGATAACAAGTTCAAACAGGTGCCATTAATACAGGTAATGAGAGGTCTGTGAGAGCCAGAAATCTTGCTTGTTTGTAGGTGACCACCATAATTTGCAAATAAATTCATTAAAAATCCTACAATGTGATTTTCTGGATTATTTTTTCTCAATTTGTCTGTCATAGTTAACGTGTACCTATGATGAAAATTACAAGCCTCTCTCATATTTTTAAGTGGGAGAACTTGCACAATTGGTGGCTGACTAAATACTTTTTTCCCCCACTGTACATAGGCCTGAACAGAATACACCATTCATTTTGAATGGGAACCCCTTCCCTCTCCCATCACCATTAGTATTATGCACACTTGCATGGTATATCAGGTGAGCAGAATCTCTGTTTAAATCAAGGTTATGAGGACATATGGTTAGTATGATTACATTTACATTTACGTCATTTAGCAGACGCTCTTATCCAGAGCGACTTACAAATTGGTGCATTCACCTTATAGCCATTTTTTTTGGGGGGGGGGGGTTAAGGGGGGGGCGGTAGAAGGATTACTTTATCCTATCCCAGGTATTCCTTAAAGAGGTGGGGTTTCAAGTGTCTCCGGAAGGTGGTGAGTGACTCCGTCGTCCTGGCGTCGTGAGGGAGCTTGTTCCACCATTGGGGTGCCAGAGCAGCGAACAGTTTTGACTGGGCTGAGCGGGAACTGTGCTTCCGCAGAGGTAGGGGGGCCAGCAGGCCAGAGGTGGATGAACGCAATGCCCTCGTTTGGGTGTAGGGACTTTGGGTGTTTACGTTGTCCAATAACAATTGGACAACGTAAACTAGGGCCAACGTAAACTAGTGCAGTTTCCCCATCACCTTCACTGGTCTGACAACAAAATGCAGGTGGGAAAAAAAACAAATTAGGAAGAGAATGGGTTTTTACTTTATTCTTGTTTTAGATCTGCAAAGGTGTAGGGAGGAAATAAGGAGATTAAGTCTAAATGAGATACTAATAAACAAATTAAACTGACTTTATGAACAAAAATTCTAATAAGTATTCAAGTACAGGAAAGAACATGACAGGTGTGTGTGTTATAAAAATGTTACAGAAAAGTAAATGGAATTAAAAGAGGTGTGTGTGTAAAAATAAAAAGTGGAATGTGTAGCTAAACACAAATCCCCTGTAATATTTCAGAGAGCAGCAAGAGCATGTATTTTTGACACAACTGCAGACAGATATGGAGGACTACTTGTACTCAACAAGCCGTAGTAGGGGGACTTCAGACATGGCCATAAAGAGACAGAGGGGCAGGGAACTGGAGATGTGAGGTGCTGAGAGGAGTGGAGGAGAGGTGTGTGTGTGTGTCTGAAAAAAAAACGAAAAGTTAATGTGTAGCCACAATACAGGTAAATACACAATTCATATTTAGCCTTGTAAAAGAACAAGAAGAGCATCTGAATTCTCCGATGTGCGAGGTTCAATTCAGTCAATTTCAAGTTTTTAATGTCACATGCACAGTGAAATGCCTTTCTCGCAAGCTCTAACCGCAACAATGCAGTAATCAATAACAATGTAATACTAGAAATAACAAGGTAGAACAAAAACACACGAGATATAAAAATAAGAAGAACACGATAAAGTAAGCATACTATATAAAGGGTCAGTTCCAGTGCCATATTTACAATGTGCAGGGATACTGGATCGATAAAGGTAGATACTGTATGTATAGGGGTAAGGTGACTAGGCATCAGGATATACTGTATGATAAACAGAGTAGTAGCAGCGTATATGATGATTGTTTGTGAGTGGGTATGTGTAGAGTCAGTATAAATGTGCATATTATGTGTGTGTGAGCAAATTATGAAAGTATTCAGACCCCTTGACTTTTTCCAAATGTTGTTACATTACAGCCTTATTCTAAAATTGATTAAATAGTTTTTCCCCCCTCATCAATGTACACACAATACCCCATAATGACAAAGCAAAAACAGGTTTTTAGATTTTTTTGCATGTTCATAAAAATAAAAAATAAACTGAAATATCAGAGATCAGGTTCAAGTCCGGGCTCTGGCTGGGCAACTCAAGGACATTCTGAGACTTGTTCCGAAGCCACTCCTGCATTGTCTTGGCTGTGTGCTTAGGGTCATTGTCCTGTTGGAAGGCGAACCTTCGCCCCAGTCTGAGGTCCTGAGCGCTCTGGAGCAGGTTTTCATCAAGGATCTCTCTGTACTTTGCTCCGTTCATCTTTCCCTCGATCCTTACTAGTCTCCCAGTCCCTTTCCTCCAGATGTGGTGGCTTGGCATTCAGGCCAAAGAGTTCAATCTTGGTTTCATCAGACCAGAACATTTTGTTTCTCATGGTCTGAGAGTCCTTTAGGTGCCTTTTGGCAAACTCCAAACGGGCTGTCATATGCCTTTTACTGAGGAGTGGCTTCCGTGCTGCAGAGATGGTTGTCCTTCTGGAAGGTTCTCCCAGAGGAACTTTAGAGCTCTGTCAGAGTGACCATTGGGTTCTTGGTCACCTCCATGACCAAGGCCCTTCTTCCCCGATTGCTCAGTTTGGCTGGGCGGCCAGCTCTAGGAAGAGTCTTGGTGGTTCCAAGCTTCTTCCATTTAAGAATGATGGGGGCCACTGTGTTCCTGGGGACCTTCAATTAATGCATGTTTTGGTACCCTTTCCCAGATCTGTGCCTCGACACAATCCTGTATCGGAGCTCTATGGACAATTCCTTTCGACCGAATGGCTTGGTTTTTGCTCTGACATGCACTGTCAACTGTGGGACCTTATATAGACAGTTATGTGCCTTTCCAAATCATGTCTAATCAATTGAACTTACCACAGGTGGACTCCAATCAAATTGTTGAAACATCTCAAGGATGATCAATGGAAACAGGATGCACCTGAGCTCAATTGCGAGTCGCAGAGCAAAGGGTCTGAATACTTATCTAAATAAGGTATCTGTTTTTTATTTTTAATAAATTTGAAAAAATGTCTAAAACCCTGTTTTCGTTAATTTACGTTAATTTGTGGAATTTCTTTCCTTCTTAATGCGTTTCAGCCAATCAGTTGTGTTGTGACAAGGTAGGGGTGGTATACAGAAGATAGCCCTATTTGGTAAAAGACCAAGTCCATATTATGGCAAGAACAGCTCAAATAAGCAAAGAGTAACGACAGTCCATCATTACTTTAAGACACGAAGGTCAGTCAATTTGGAAAATGTCAAGAAATTTTAAAGTTTCTTCAAGTGCAGTCGCAAAAACCATCAAGCGCTATGATGAAACTGGCTCTCATGAGGAACGCCACAGGAATGGAAGACCCAGAGTTACCTCTGCTGCAGAAGATAAGTTCATTAGAGTTACATGCACCTCAGATTGCAGCCCAAATAAATGCTTCACAGAGTTCAAGTCACAGACACATCTCAACATCAACACAATTGGTCCAGGGTATGGGAGGGAATGGCTGGCAGGGATGTAGCTCAGTTAGTAGAGCATGGCGTTTGCAACGCCAGGGTTGTGGGTTTGATTCCCACGGGGGGCCAGTATAAAATAAATATTAATAATGTATGCACTAACTGTAAGTCGCTCTGGATAAGAGCGTCTGCTAAATGACTAAAATGTAGGTTGGAGTCATTAAAATTCATTTTTCAACCACTCCACAAATTTCTTGTTAACAAACTATAGTTTTGGCAAGTTGGTTAGGACATCTACTTTGTGCAAGACACAAGTAATTTTTCCAACAATTGTTTACAGACAGATTATTTCACTTATAATTCACTGTATCACAATTCCAGTGGGTCAGAAGTTTACATACACTAAGTTGACTGTGCCTTTAAACAGCTTGGAAAATTCCAGAAAATGATGTCATGAATTTAGAAGCTTCTGATAGGCTAATTGACATCATTTGAGTCAATTGGAGGTGTACCTGTGGATGTATTTCATGGCCTACCTTCAAACTCAGTGCCTCTTTGCTTGACATCATGGGAAAATCAAAAGAAATCAGCCAAGACCTCAGAAAAAAAATGGTAGACCTCCAGAAGTCTGGTTCATCCTTGGTAGCAATTTCCAAACGCCTGAAGGTACCACGTTCATCTGTACAAACAATAGTATACAAGTATAAACACCATGGGACCACGCAGCCTTCATACTGCTCAGGAGGGAGACGCGTTCTGTCTCCTAGAGACCATCCCAACTGTGAAGGACGGGGTGGCAGCATCATGCTGTGGGGGTGCTTTGCTGCAGGAGGGACTGGTGCGCTTCACAAAATAGATGTCATCATGAGGAAGGAAAATGATGTGGATATATTGAAGCAACATCTCAAGACATCAGTCAGGAAGTTAAAGCTTGGTTGCAAATGGGTCTTCCAAATGGACAATGACCCCAAGAATACTTCCAAAGTTGTGGCAAAATGGCTTAAGGCCAACAAAGTCAAGGTATTGGAGTGGCCATCACAAAGCCCTGACCTCAATGCTATAGAAAATTTGAGGGCAGAACTGAAAAAGCGTGTGCGAGCAAGGAGGCCTACAAACCTGACTCATTTACACCAGCTGTGTCAGGAGGAATGGGCCAAAATTCACCCAACTTATTGTGGGAAGCTTGTGGAAGGCTACCCAAAACGTTTGACCCAAGTTAAACAATTTAAAAGCAATGCTACCAAATACTAATTGAGTGTATGTGAACTTCTGACCCACTGGGAATGTGATTAAATAAATAAAAGCTGAAATAAATCATTCTCTCTACTATTATTCTGACATTTCACATTCTTAAAATAAAGTGGTGATTCTAACTGACCTAAGACAGGGAAGTTTTACTAGGATTAAATGTCAGGAATTGTGAAAAACTGAGTTTAAATGTATTCGGCTAAGGTGTTTGTAAACTTCCAACTTCAACTGTACAACTAATGAAAACTATTAACCTAACCTAACTAACCCATTTTTTCTGAAATAATTTCTGGGGATGCCATTTTTTCCCCACCCCAGCCCAAATCTAATGACAACCTTAATTTCGGTACATTAAAATGTTTACATCAACAATTCATTACATTTTGAAATGAAAAGAAACCAATAAAAAACATTTACTCAATAAAATGGTATTTTTCAAATGATCTTTCTCAAAAACATTTGTATATTGTCCCATACAATAATCTGTACTCGTATTTGTTGGTTCCTAAAGAAAAATATGTGTTTTTTAATTTTATTTTGGCAACCACCCTGCAAGGTCGCGACCCCAACTTTGAATACCACTGATTTAGTTGCTTATTTCAGTTGTTGCTTGTCAAGCCCAAATCGCATGGTTGACCCACAACTCCTAAAAAGCCCTCTTGGTCTGAAGCTGCCCTTTAGAACGAACCACAGCATTATTGATTGTCGACAGAAACCCAATTATGAGGTGTCAAAGTTTTCATGGAAACATCAGTTTAAGATGTGAATTAAAACTCCCCATCAAAGGGCAGAGTTCTGCTCAACTGCCAGACAGTTTGTCAGAGGATAACTTTGAGCCATTCCTGTGAACTAAACTTCAACTTACAATATGATCACATTGTTTGTGTGCAGCAGAGGTGCATTAACCCCCCCCCCCCCCCCCCCCCGCCCCCTCCGCTCTAGAACAATGACTGTCGAGGCAGCGAAATAAATAAAGTACACCAACAGTTAACCTATCAAATCCCTAATGTCCAAATACAGAGGGTGTACCAGCACTGACCTTTAATGACCCCCCCCCCCAGGATAAAAGCGTGTTATGAGGTACTGTAATAGAGGACAAGGTCTTCAATAATATTGAAGGATTATATCACACATGATCAATAATTTTATATCTTTATTACACAATCAGAAGCTCCAGGTTCCCATTATGGTCACTCCAGTATGAGCATCATTCCCTCTGTTTGGTCCCAAGGTAGTACTCACCGGGGGGGGGGGGGGGGGTCCCTCAGTTTGGTCCTAAGGTAGTACTCACTAGGGGGGGGGGGGGTCCCTCAGTTTGGTCCTAAGGTAGTACTCAGGGGGGGGGTTGTAGTTGGTAGGGCAATGATGTCACTCCTAAAGGCATCGCCCTGTTCTTCATTACACGTGGCATCCCTCAAGGCCATTGTAAGTGTAGGCAATAGGCCAGACCACAGCCCAGCAGGATAGCTAATGGGCACTTAGAATGATCAATAAGTGGCAATGAATGTGCTCCCTCCCTTGTTAATTTGCCTCGCACTGATAGTCCTACCGAGTGCAGTGGTTTTCAACATTGAGTCAGTGTTATCACATAGATCCTGTGTGGCTCAGTTGGTAGAGCATGGCGCTTGTAATGCCAGTGTTGTGGGTTTGATTCCCATGAGGGACCAGTACGAAAAAGTATCCATTCACTACTGTAAGTTGTTCTGGATAAGAGCGTCTACTAAAATGTAAATATATTTTTTGGGTTGAAATTATGAGGAAACAACATTGATTCAACCAGTTTTTGCCCAGTGGGATGCCTTTTGTGGTTGTGTTCATGCAGGAAAATGAATGAAGGTGAATAATGTGCTTGTGAAGTGGGATTTTCAGTGGGTAATGTGTATGCCTTGCTATTCCTAATAGCCATGTCCCTTCATAGCTTCTGTTATTTTTAACTGTTGTATAATATGAGCACATGATGTATGTCTGACTACATCGTATACAGTACTTATTAAATATGCAGAGATTTGGTTTTGAAATCCTCTGTTAAATATGTCCATTAAATAAGTCCATTTTCTTTCAAGTTATGCAGTATTTTCCATATAAGAATGAGGCTAAGCGAGACATTTGACATTTTAGTCATTTAGCAGACGCTCTTCTCCAGAGCAACTTACAAAGGTCAACTCAGTCTGTGAAGCTATTTTTTTTTTAAAGCTATTTAGTTAGCTATTTAGCAGTCTTATGGCATGGGGATAGAAGCTGTTCAGGAGCCTGTTGGTGTCAGACTTGATGCACCGGTACCGCTTGCTGTGCGGAAGCAGCGTAAACAATCTAGCTTGGGTGGTTGGAGTTTTTAAAGATTTTCCGGGCCTTTCTTTCACACTGCCAGTCCTGTATGGCAGGGAGCTCGGCATATTACTGTGAAAATATATATTGATGTCACAAATGTATCATTTGTACAGTTCTTTATTAAAAATGTTGTTATTTGTCACATTTGACTGTGTAACCTAGTAGTACTACTCATTTGTCTGAGAGTGATAGCATTTTCCAAAAAACATGATTATTTGTCTCTGAAATGAAACCATCAAGTGAGAGATTTTAAACAAATACATGTCTTTCATTGAACAACCCCATGCCATGATTAAATAGTGAAAAAAACACCAATCTCTTTCATAAGTTCTTTAAAAAATAAAAGCTAATTTACCAACATTTCTGAAAATGGATATACTGTACAGCATTTTGGAATTAAACTCTTCAAACATATTCTTCATTAAAAAGGTACTCAATCAGCCATCTGAAATGACCTAGAGGCACCAATTCATCCAATTTTAGAGAGCTCGGGAGATTATCCCACAAGTAAGGTGCAAAAACACTAAAGGCTGATTTACATAACTCTGTAGAGACCAAAGGAATTTCCAGAGTTAGCCATACCTTGTACGGTAACTTGTACGTCTAAAAGTTATTAATGTTAGGTACAGCGGGAGATTTTGTAAAAGAGCTTTATAAACAAAAAGAGAGCGATGCATCGATCTACGAGCCAACCTGCTTTCTGACGTAGAACTGTACTGAACCTGTCGACCCGTAATAAAGCGTAGTGTGCTGTCATAAACTGCATCCAATGGTTTCAGTGTATTGGCAGCTGCATTCATATTGATGATGTCGCGGTAGTCTAGGACCGGTAGGAACGGTGATATTCCATTGATAGCCTTCACATAATATTACACTGTTTGCGTGAAATGTGAATAGGTCTTCATTCAGACCCGTGTCGCCTTGCTCACTGAGTTCCCCTTCTCTATTTGGGTACATGGTTGTGCAGTTAAAGCCTGGAGGTATGCGTTTGTGCCAGCACTGTAAATTGCCCTGTTAGTGCTCACCTCATTTTGTTTCCTGTTTCTCTAAATGTCTCCACAAGAAACAGTCTATTTTCGAGGATTGTAAAAGGTTCCCTTATTAATTCTATACAGCGAAATCCATTGCGTTTGTTATACGCATTTTGAACATGACTGTAAAGTGGTGCACTTGTGCTTGGTGTGTGCAATCAGAAATGTGTCATATTAATTAAAAATAGTTTATTTTGCTGTTAGCTGGCATCGCTTCATCAGAGTTTATACTGCTGGAAGACGCTGTGATTGTTTGATACGATGCTGCCTTGACTTTCTGTCCAGAAAGCCTACCTTTACAACATGAGTCAGTCTGCATCCTAGTAGTGTCGATGGTTTTCAAAAAAATACATTTTCTAGTTGTATTTGTACTGTAGACGGTATAAATGCAGGGTACACTTATTTTACAATTCTAAGCACAAGCACACTCCTCTATGGATCCTCTCAGTTTAGCCTTCCCATTAATTAAGGTCACGTACATCCAATATGAACCAAAGATCACATCTTTAGATTACATTTAGTCCCTAGTGGGGCTCTTGGCCTAGGTGGAAATTAATGCAGGCTCAAAACTGAAATTCAGCCTTGGGATGGCGCTTTTGTTAGGCCACCATCAAATATCTATTTCGGTGAACTGCAGAGAGGAACAGTCATCTATTATGAGTTTCATCTACCTTGCATTAAGAATACTGTGCCTCCCTGACTGACAATTTACTGGACTCTGCCAAACAAACTGACAACTTGACAGAAAATACAATCTGAACCTGAATTATGTGGTAAAACCACTCTCATAGGAAACACAACTGGAGTACACTAAATCCAGACATAACACCTTCATGTATTAACCTTACTCGTCTTCTATTCAGTATTCTGATTGATATTAATCATTATACAATGGATGGGTCTAATCCTGAATTCTGATTGGTTCAAACCGGATTCCAGCCGGTGACTATTCCACAAGTTACCACCGGCTAAATCTATGACGTTAAAATTACTCTGTTACATCTGACTGCGCAATCCACTGTCTCATCAGCCCAGCCAAGCAATATTATAAACTTGATCGCCACTATAAAAAGCATCAAGACATTATCTCACATTTCTTTTAGACTAACATTTCGTTTTCAACAGTGGATATTTGTATAAACCTGTCTGTCTGTCTCGTCTTCTATTTATTATTTTGATTGATATTAATCAATAGAATAGTCTGTATTAACACATTTCCTCATAACATAGAGCTATTATACAGCCCCAGATTCAAACCTTCTCTTTTATAGCCTTGAAGAAGATCCCTGATCATTTATCATTCATGGAGGTCCTGCTCTCCTGTCCCCTGCAGGTGTCTGACGATGACTCCCCAGAGCCAGGCCTGGGTCTGGGCGCGGAGATGGAGACTTTCCAGGTGCGGAGGCTCTCCTGCCGGAACCTGCAGCTGCCCCCGTTGGCCTTTAGGCAGGCAGAGCAGCGTGACTGGGCCCCGAGGCCAGAGACGGAGCAGATCCCTCGGCCCACTAGCCTCGCCCTCAGGATCCCTCCGCTCATCGCTATCACCTCAGCAGACACCAGCAGGTAGGAAAGACAGGAGACTGCATGTGGAGACAAAGGTCTGGTGGCAGGGTCATGGGATGTGGATTGATGTGTGTGTGAGAGAGGGAGTACAACACAGGTGGGCGAGCGAGAGAGGGAGAGAGACAGGGAAGGAGTCAGACAAGGAGACTCAGGGAAGCTTAGTGGTCTTTTCTGTATTGAGTTTTCTGTGTGTTTATCTGTGCTCCATATATTTCTGGCTATGTGTGTCAGTATATGTGTGAGTATAAATGCATATGGTCACTAAAGCTAGAGTGAATGCAATCTGCTCTCCAATCTCCATTCAGACAGCACAAAGACCATTAAACTCTAGTCTGAATTACGATGGTAGTTGCCCCTTGAAAGCCTGTGAATGAAATACAGTAGGTGTAAACACAGTCCAGTTCAAAGTAAATGGCACAGATCCATATATGGATCTACCGCTCAGACGTAAGCCTATGCAACATTAACCAATTAAAAACAGTACTGTAGCAATGAGGTTTGTACAGTGAGCTATAGGCCCAATACATTATCACCGCATATTAGCTTTGCTTGAATTGCCCTGCCAATGCATTGTTGTTCGAGCCATTTTTTAAAATTATATTTCAAAATTTGAGGTAGGCTCTATGATCACACCAGTAATAGATCCGTTGTTGTATTACTTGTGAGGCACAGCTGAGTGAGCATACATCTAAATCATTTGCTTTTTATTTTTATTTTACTGGGCTGTTCCTGCATCTGATGGTCAGTCTCAGCGGAGGGAGAGAACAGCAGACTGAGGGTCCACCTCTCAACATCCCTCCGCTCTCCCTTTCCTCCACTGACACTGACCAAATAGGGACACAGTCTTCCAGCTGATGGCGAAAACTCGAGTCGCACCGCATTATTTCTGCCTCATGCACAAATTCATATTGTTACTCCTATGAACAGAGAAAGTGAAATACTCCTCGATATTAAAAAAGACCCAAGCCGCTAATAATAACAACAACGCAAGCCTATAGATACACTTTCCTACTCATTCATTACTGCTGCAGTGCTTGTTGTAGTGCTGAGTGGAAATAGGAAGGACGCGCATTTTATCGCTTATAAAAGTGTTGAATACAAAGTGTTGACAGTGCTGAGTAAGAACTTAAGACATGAACTCACTAAAAAAAACAGCAGCTCTTTGCTGTATTCGTTGACAGTCTCTCTCTAGTCATGGTTTTAAAAGTTTAGAAATCTCACAGTGTCAACTTTGCTGTAGCTTTCTTTTATGCCTGCTACGTTACTGCAGACACGGTCATCCGTTTGGCCAGCGGTGGGCCTATAGTGCACTTCATTTGCTCTCTGGGCCTGCCGGGAAGGCAGAGTTAGTACCTTCAGGCACATGAAATGGTTCAAAATGGCAACAGTTCGGCCTTCCCAGCGCGCAGGGCATCTGAATCGGGATGCACCTACCGTCAACAGCCCGAGACAAATAAAAAAACTAGGAACACAAGGCTTTATCGTTCGTTTTTTTTTTACAGAAATGTTTGGCGATCGACTAGGAATGCCTTGGAGATCGACCAGCTCTAGGAAGTTGAGTGAAGTTCAATCTTGTGCTTCTCTCTGTGGGCGGATGTTTCTGTGCACGCACGCAGCTTAGAGGGAACATAGTTCATTATACTGGGAATAGGCTGCCATTTGAGACGCAGCCAAAGCCTTTCTGTGCAATCAGGATCTCTCATGCCGAATTCCCTTCGGGTCAGCGACTCGCCCTTATTTAGATTCGGTTGTGTGATATCGTTGGTCTAGAAACGGTGTTGCGTAGATGTGAGCATAATCTCATGTTATTCATATTCATGAAAATTCATGAGAATACTGAATGACACTGGTTGGATTACTACAAGTGCCATCTCTAGTGTTCTTCATCGCTCCAAACCCTTTGTAGATGGGAGAGTGCAATCCTTTGTAGATGGGAGAGTGTAATCCTTTGTAGATGGGAGAGTGTAATCCTTTGTAGATGGGAGAGTGCAATCCTTTGTAGATGGGAGAGTGCAATCCTTTGTGGATGGGAGAGTGTAATCCTTTGTAGATGGGAGAGTGTAATCCTTTGTAGATGGGAGAGTGTAATCCTTTGTAGATGGGAGAGTGTAATCCTTTGTAGATGGGAGAGTGTAATCCTTTGCCATAGTTTACATTCAGGAATTGATAGCGTCTGGAGAGAAACTGGAGATGAGATGGCAATAGTGATCTGTGACTCCCATTCATGAGCAATTACTCCATGGTTTCTCGTAAAGAAAGAAGATGGAGAGCTGTGCTTTGTTAGTATCTCTCTGACAATGGCAATTTCTTCTGAAAAGGTCAGCCCCAGAGTTTGTTGTTGGATGGGAGTTATGATGGATTGTGGAGTGTGTGAGGATGTCAGTGCACAAATCAAATTGTTTTGGTCGCGTACACATATTTGCAGATGTTTTCGCAGGTTCAGTGAAATGCTTATGTTTCTAGCTCCAACAGTAATACCTAGCATAACAAAATAACACATCAAAAAACTAATCAGAACGAGCAATGTCAGAGTCTGGAATATAAATACAGTGCCTTCAGAAAGTATTCATACCCCTTGATTTATTCCACATTTTGTTGTGTTACAGCCTGAATTCTAAATTGATTAAAACAAATTTTTTCTCACCCATCTACATACAATACCCCATAATGACAAAGTGAAAATGTGTTTTTAGAAATTTTAGCAAATCTATTGAAAATAAAATACAGAAATAGCTAATTTACTTAAGTATTCACACCACTGAGTCAATACATTGTAGAAGCACCTTTGGCAGTGATTACAGCTGTGAGTCTTTCTGGGCAAGTCTAAGAGCTTTCCACACCTGCATTGTGCAACATTTGCCAATTATTATTTTCAAAATTCTGTCAAGTTGGTTGTTGATCATCGCTAGACAACCATTTTCAGGTCATGCCATAGATTTTCAAGTAGATTTATGTCAAAACTGTAACTCGTCAACTCAGGAACATTCACTGTCTTCTTGGTAAGCAACTCCAGTGTATATTTGGCCTTGTCTTAAAGGTGTCTGGTGGAAAGCAGACTGAACCAGGTTTTCCTCTAGGACTTTGCCTGTGCTTAGCTCCATTCCGTTTATTTTTTATCCTGAAAAACTCCCCAGTCCTTAACGATTACAAGAATACCCATAACATGATGCAGCCACCACTATGCTTGAAAATATGGAGAGTGGTACTCAGTAATGTGTTGTACTGGATTTGTCCCTAACACAACACTTTGTATTCAGGACAAAAAGTGAATTGGTTTGCCACATTTTTTTGCATTATTATTTTAGTGCCTTGTTGCAAACAGGATGCATGTTTTGGAATATTTTTTATTCTTTACAGGCTTTTTTCTTTTCACTCTGTCAATTAGGTTAGTATTGTGGAGTTACTACAATGTTGTTGATCCATCCTCAGTTTTCTCCTATCACAGCCATTCAACTCTGTAACAATATGGTTAATAATGTATTGAGTCATTTTGGAGTCACTTTTATTGTAAATAAGAATGTAATATGTTTCTAAACACTTCTACATTCATGTGGATGCTACCATGGTTACGGATAGTCCTGAATGAATCATGAATAATGATGAGTGAGAAAGTTAGACGCACAAATATCATCCCCCCCCCCAAAAAAAAATGCTAACCTCCCCTGTTATTGTAATGGTGAGAGGTTAGCATGCGTCTAACTTTCTCACTCATCATTATTCACGATTCATTCAGGACTATCCGTAATCATGGTAGCAATTTAGACCCAATTCTAAACTTTTGACTACTTTAATACACATGCATAAGTGAATTTGTCCCAATACTTTCGGTCCCCTAAAATGGGTGGGACTATGTACAAAAAGTGCTGTAATTTCTAAACGGTTCACCCGATATGGATGAAAACACTCTGAAATGAAAGCTGACCCTTACAAAAAAAGACTGCAGTTTTGAAAATGCAGTAACTGCAGTCGACTGTGGTACTTTGGGCGCAGTAATTGCAGAATAACTGCAGTTGAACTGCAGTTATACTGCAATCTTACTGCAGTAAAAAAAACGGTGTTATTTTGGACCCGGTATTTGCTACATACTGCAGTTATAATGCACTCTAAAACAGTATGTAAACATTATTGAAGTGACCAGTGTTCAATGACTATGTACATAGGGCAGCAGTCTCTAAGGGGCAGGGTACTGGGTAGAGGCCGACTTGTGGTGACAATTTAAAAGTCTGATGGCCTGGAGATAGAAGCTGTTTTTCAGTCTCTCCGTCCCAGCTTTGATGCATCTGCACTGTCTCCGCCTTCTAGATGGTGGCGGGGTGAACAGCCCGTGGCTCGGGTGGCTGAGGACATTGATGATCTTCTTGGCCTTCCTGTGACACCGGGTGCTGTAGATGTCCTGGAGGGGAGGCAGTGTGCCCCCGGTGATAGGTTGGGCTGACCGCAAACACCATCTGGAGAGCCCTGCAGTTGCGGACAGTGCAATTGCCGTACCAGGTGGTGATACAGCCCGACAGGATGCTCTCAATGGTGAATCTGTAGAGGTTTGTGAGGGTCTTAGGGGCCAAGCTGAATTTCTTCAGCTTCCTGAGGTTGAAGAAGACGCTGTTGCGCCTTCTTTACCACACTGTCTGTGTGGATGGACCATTTCTGGTCAGCACGCCAAGGAACTTGAAGCTTTTCACCCTCTCCACTGTGGCCCCATCGATATGGATGGGGGGCGTGCTCTCTCTGCTGTCAGCAAACTTGATGATTAAGTTGGACACGTGCGTGGCCACGCAGTCATGGGTAAACAGGGAGTACAGGAGGGGGCTGAGCACGCACCCCCTGTGTTGAGGATCAGCGTGGCGGAGCTGTTGTTGCCTACCTTCACCACCTGGGGTCGGCCCATCAGGAAGTCCAGGACCCAGTTCCCCAGGGCGGGGTTCAGACCCAGGGCCCCGAGCTTAGCGATGAGCTTTGATGGCACTATGGTGTTGAAGGCTAAGCTGTAGTCGATGAACAGCATTCTTACATAGGCATTCCTCTTGTCCAGGTGGGATAGTGCAGTGCGATGGCGTCGTCCGTGGATCTGTTGGGGCGGTATGCAAATTGTAGTGGGTCTAGGGTGTCGGGTAAGTTGGAGGTGATATGTTCCTTAATTAGCCTCTCAAAGCACTTCAAGATGACAGAAGTGAATGCAATGGGACAATAGTCTTTTAGTTCAGTTACCTTCGCTTTCTTGGGTACAGGAACAATGGTGGACATCTTGAAGCAAGTGGGGACAACAGACTGGGACAAGGAGAGATTGAATATGTCCGTATACACTCCAGCCAGCTGGTCTGCAGATGCTCCGTGGACACGGCTTGGGATGCCGTCTGGGCCAGCAGCCTTGCGAAGGTTAACGCACTTAAATGTCTTACTCACGTCGACCACGGAGAACGAGAGCTCAGAGTCTTCGTGAGCTGCGTTGGCCCGTGTCGGCCGCTCAGTGTTTTCCTTGAAGCGGGCGAAGAAGGTGTTTAGCTTGTCCGGGAGCGAGGCGTCGGTGTCCGCGACATGGCTGGCTTTCCCTTTAGAATCTGTGATTGTCTGGAGTCCCTGCCACATGTGTCTCATGTCTGAGCCGTTGAATTGGGACTCCACTTTGTCCCTGTACTGACGTTTTGACTCTTTGATTGCCTCACGGAGGTCAGAGCTGGTCTGGTTGTACACCTCCATGTTCCCAGTCACCTTGCCATGGTTAAATGCGTTGGTTTGCGCTTTCAGTTTTGCGCAAATGCTGCCATCTATCCACGGTTTTTGGTTTGGATAAGTTCTAATCATCACAGTGGGAACAACATCCTATATGCACTTCCTGATGAACTCTGTCACCAAGTCAGTGTATACGTCAATACTATTCTCAGGGGCATTTCCCAGTCCGCGTGATCAAAACAATCTTGAAGCATAGATTCTGATTGGTCAGACCAACGTTGAACAGTCCTCACACGTACATAGGCAACCACACACAGACAGACAACCTGACACAGACAGACAGACACACACACACACACACACACACACACACACACACACACACACACACACAGACAGACAGACAGACAGACACACACACACCGTCTTGGTCTTTTTGTTACTGTGGTTACATTTGGAGGAAGGATGGAAAATCATCCGCCCCCCTGTTGCTCCCAATCAATGTCCCCCTGCTGTCATTCCATGAAAAGCCCACCCTTTCCCCTTGCTATCATTCCATGAAAAGCCCACAATGCCCTCCTCCTGGGCTGTACAGAAAATCACTAGCTGGTTAAGCAAAAAGAAGTTAGCTGTAGCCATTTTGAATGTAGGCATTGACACAAATTTCCATGTGACTGCAGACAGGATTGCTATGATTAAGATTATTTTGTCTATCGTAACAATAGGACCATCTCTTTACGGGAAGTGGAAATGTCTCTAATGTCACAGGGGGAAAGGTTTAAGCTTATTCTGTAAGGATCGAGGCTTCCTGGTAGTATTCGCCGTGCTTGTCTCTTGGCAAACTGTACTGTACAGTATGTGCCCATTGACCTACTTTATGAAACAGGTCATTGTTAACCCTAGAGAAATGATTATTATACATATACCGAGTGGACAAAATGATGAAAGATTACTTGAAAGCATGTCATGAGTGACAGTTGAATTGATAGGAGTGACTATGTACTGTCCTTTCAAATTACTTTTGTTTTCCTTTATTGTTCTATATCAGACAACAGTGATGGCCGGTATTCAATCTGTCTTTTCCATAGCAATGTTTATGCAATATTGTTGTTTACACAACTACAACCCACGCACACTGAAATATGGAATTACTGTAAGTAGGCGTTTACCTGCTGTGATAAACCTTTTTCACCAAAATCGTTTCATTTGATTTGATTGTGTGTCCATGTGCTAGCTACAGCAATGCTGGTTTGATTAAATTGAGCTTTTCATGTCATTGTTGGGGGGTGATTTCTGTGTAGGTAAACTCCTAGTTAGTCGAAGTACGAAGAAAAAGCAGCTCTATTTTTCCACTCCCGTCTTTTTGTCACTTTATAGCCTATTTGACAGAAAACAGTGACGTTTACGTCATAAACACAACAAAATCCATGTCACAACTCGGAATTGAGCGGTCAGATTTACCCTACCATAGAATATTACCAGCAAATCAAATCACATTTTATTGGTCATACATAATCACTCTTGGGTCATCGATATTTAACTTCCCTGTGAATTAACCCGTTGGATCCCTGTGATCGAGTGCGTATTCACTCTCGACTTGCATTTCATGAGTGGAGGCAGATTTGTGTGCTGTGCTCCCATATGGGTTACCCAACATAAATCATAAATATGTGTCTCAGCACTGGCCCCAAGCACACCTCATATATAATTCATATCCAACAGGGGAAGGAGATGATGTTATAGAATTCCTACAGTATGACACATCTGCTCTGCCTCAATGATGACGATATTTTACCACAGTGACTGGAAACACTGTAGGCTAACTCACTTCTCGGGTGAGAAGTCATTCAGGGTGGTTGTGTCAGACACACATACACACACACACACACACCCACACACATACACCCACACACACACATACACACAAACACACACACCCACACACATACACCCACACACATACACCACACACATACACACACACACACACACACACACACACACACACACACACACACACACACACACACACACATACAGACTTTGTATTACCTCTCATTTCTATTGTGCTCATGGTTGTCTTTCTTCCACAGTAATAATCTTCTGGCCCTATTCAGCAGCACTACCAGCCATATCACTTTCCAGATGCAGTCTATTTCACCTCACACATCATTAGTTGTTTGATGAGTCACGCTCTTTGTGTACAGTTTGCCTTGCTGGAGATTTCAAATGTGTTGCATAATTAAATGTTGAGCTTTTCCTCTGGGAACTTTGTTTCAATGTGTTGGACAAAAGGGAGGGTAAACATGCAAGGCTGTCCTATTTCTTTGAGGAAGAGGGACTCTTTGCATAAAACATGATCCCCTCAAAGCGCATGTTTCTTTAGTTGGGTTTTATAGATTAAGACGTGGTCAGAAAGAGGCAGATTAGGTGGTTGTCAACCCTGTTATGGTGTCAGCGAACAAATGGTGCCACATCATGCCTATTGTTGCTGAATTTGAAAAACGATACAAGTTTCCAGCCAGAGAGAGGTTTGCTGGCTCTCTGCATCACGGAGACATTTGTAGTTTTTGAAAATTACAGCATTTTGGAAGGGAAATTACCCCCTACTTTTAGGACCTTTTCTTATTATCTTTTTGACTACAGGACAATCACTCTTTTTACATTGTAGCGAAAACCTACATGATGGTAGCTCTCCAGGAACAGGGTTGGAGAGCCCTGATGGAGACACTGGTGGCTGGAGATAATGAATATGGTTTGGGACCGAGTTTGGGAAACAACGGCTAATAGCAACACGGACGAGACTATGAGACTGCATTGGTGCCCTGAATGTATGGCTTAATAAGGTTAAAGGGGCACTTCACCACGTTTTAAAGGGGCACTTCACCACGTTTTAAAGGGGCACTTCACCACGTTTTAAAGGGGCACTTCACCATGTTTTAAAGGGGCACTTCACCACGTTTTAAAGGGGCACTTCACCATGTTGTAAAGGGGCACTTCACCATGTTTTAAAGGGGCACTTCACCACGTTTTAAAGGGGCACTTCACCATGTTTTAAAGGGGCACTTCACCACGTTTTAAAGGGGCACTTCACCATGTTGTAAAGGGGCACTTCACCACGTTTTAAAGGGGCACTTCACCATGTTGTAAAGGGGCACTTCACCACGTTTTAAAGGGGCACTTCACCATGTTTTAAAGGGGCACTTCACCACGTTTTAAAGTGGCACTTCACCATGTTTTAAAGGGGCACTTCACCACGTTTTAAAGGGGCACTTCACCATGTTTTAAAGGGGCACTTCACCACGTTTTAAAGGGGCACTTCACCACGTTTTAAAGGGGCACTTCACCACGTTTTAAAGGGGCACTTCACCATGTTTTAAAGGGGCACTTCACCACGTTTTAAAGGGGCACTTCACCACGTTTTAAAGGGGCACTTCACCACGTTTTAAAGGGGCACTTCACCACGTTTTAAAGGGGCACTTCACCATGTTGTAAAGGGGCACTTCACCATGTTTTAAAGGGGCACTTCACCACGTTTTAAAGGGGCACTTCACCACGTTTTAAAGGGGCACTTCACCACGTTTTAAAGGGGCACTTCACCATGTTGTAAAGGGGCACTTCACCATGTTTTAAAGGGGCACTTCACCACGTTTTAAAGGGGCACTTCACCACGTTTTAAAGGGGCACTTCACCATGTTTTAAAGGGGCACTTCACCATGTTTTAAAGGGGCACTTCACCACGTTTTAAAGGGGCACTTCACCACGTTTTAAAGGGGCACTTCACCACGTTTTAAAGTGGCACTTCACCATGTTTTAAAGGGGCACTTCACCACGTTTTAAAGGGGCACTTCACCACGTTTTAAAGGGGCACTTCACCACGTTTTAAAGGGGCACTTCACCACGTTTTAAAAGGGCACTTCACCACGTTTTAAAGGGGCACTGCAGTTGCTACATCCATTTTTGGACTTATAAATGAATGATATGCACCCATTGATCCTTGAAGAATATAACTTATAAATGCCTCTTGAGCATATTTCAACTGTTGAACACAAAATAAAAGCTTGTTTTACTCCAATGTTTGTAAACAAATTAAATGTAAGCAAACACTACATAGCCTCGAAACATGGTTAAAGCTATAATCATGGATGGTCAGTCTTTGCATCCATAGCTCTGTCTATGAATTTAAGAGTGGTTACATTTCTCATGACCCATTCCTTAGACTTTTACTGAAACGGGTGGGGAGTTCTTTGTTATTGTTTCCACTGCTGATTCCCCCTGTGAGGTTTTGGTACAGCCCCCTCAGATTAAAATTAATAGTCACATGGACTGATCATTTTAGATTCAAAGTGCCAAATTACATTGATACATTTTTGTTAGTGTCACCTTTTTAGGTGCCCAGACTATTAATGTGCATGCACATAATAATAATAATAATCAATTTCGAATTAGTGTGGCAAGTTAAATAGTGTCGGTTCAAATCAAATCAAATGTTATGTGTCACATGCTTCGTAAACAACAGGGGTGGACTAACAGTGAAATGCTTACTTACAGTTCAGTGGCTTTGATATTTTTTTTAGCTTGTTGAACAACTTTTCTCGATTTATTGGATTCCATAAGCAGGTTGGTATTTATTGGGATGACTCATGTAGTGGAGGCAGCTCTGCAGAGTGGTAACTAGCTGGCACAGCCACAAATTCATACAACTAACTTTAACCTTAACCACACTGCTAACCCTAACCTTAAATTAAGCTCATTTTTGGTTTCATCCATCTGTACGATGTAGCCAATTTGGACTTTGGAGCTAGCCCATCTAATGGAAATCGCTCAGTTCTGCGTCCAGGGCAAGATTCATGACAATAAAGGTCAACCTGCATTCGATAACTTCTTGGCTACTCTAATCTAGGGGTTTTCAAAGTTGAGGTTACGAGGGAACTGCAGTGGGGTCGCCAAAATATAAAAAATATATTATAATAATTAAAGGGAAACTTCACCGCTAGACACTATTTGTGGTGTTTTTCCAGTTTCCTTACATAATTATGAGTGATGAGAGGGTCTGGTTCTCGCCGGGAGAGTTCAAGCAATGACGTCATTGGTTGATTGAGCCTGCTGTCTGATCTAAAAATGAATGGAGTCATGTTTTGTAGCAATTATTGTCACCATCAGAAATGTTCCTATCTGCCAGGACATTGCAGGATATCTAGGTTGACTCATTTTCCCTGGCTTTGTAAAGACTACAGCCTGACGGGAGCCCTACTTCCTTGTTCCCATCAAAGGCAGGCTTTTCAAAACGGGGGCGGAACAACTATAGTTTACAGGTCCACTGGAGCTATGTTACCGTGCACTGTCTATCCAAGATGTCTAAACAATTAGCTACAATGGCTACTTCTGATGATTCCTCTTTCCAAGAAGAGCTAGATGACTAATTGTTTTACATAGGAACATAGAGCCCTATTTATTTGAGCCTATACTGAAGAGGTGTTGAGACAGTGAGAAAAATTATTGCAAGACCAGTAAGCAGCGGTGGCAGTCTAGATCAGCTGGACCGGGACTCAGGAGGGCGAATGACAAACGAGTAAGTCATTTTGCTGTCGGTAGGTAGCTAGCAATATAACTTCTCTTTTTACAAGAGGCAATGTTGTTCAGTACTGTTACAGGGGTGGGTCGCAGTTCTGGAGCGACCCACTAGGTGTCATCCTCTGACAACCATAGGCACCTCCTCATTCACTGTCTGGACTAATCATTATCCTATTGGTGTCACCTGTGGCTATCTGATTCACCTGTGTATTTATGCCCTCACTTCTCTGTGTTCCCTTGCTCAGTTTTCTCTGCTAGTTCCTGAATGTCAAGCAGCACGTGTCAGTGTCGGATCACGTGATGGAGTTACAGGTACTCGAGAAGTGTTCTCCTTGTGTCATTGTGTTTTTCCAGTCAGAGTTAGTATTTCGTATTGTTTGTTGTCAGCCTGTTTTTTGGAGACCTATGTGCTCCTCATTTGTTTTGTATCTTGGCTTTTGGACCACCGGTAAAGATCCTTGTTTCACCATCCTTGCCTACTGCCTACTGTCTATCCTGCACCGCACCTGGGTCACACCTCACACCAACCCTTACACAGTACAGTACAATTTGGTGATTGATTCGGCCATAACGGGGCTTGCTAGTACCACTACAAGCCAAGCTAGCCAAGTTCATCTAACTAGCTGTGTTTGCTATACCTAAAATGTACTGTAGTCTAACATTATTGCTAGTTAGCTAACTAGCCTCAGTGCCTCTCATTAGGAGCAAAACTGGATAAATGTTTTGATGGTGGAGAGTAAAGGAATTACTTTGGCTTTATGACTCATATTAGTCTTGGAGTGACTATCTGTGTGTCGTAGCTAACTAACGTGTGTCTGTGGGATGTATCATATTCTACACCATGCTGCTACAGTAGGAATACAAACAGTAAACAACTCTCAAGAGGAGATGTGAAAGGTCCCATAAGAACAATTTCCCCTTGTATCAAAGTGACTCCCAACACCTCACTACACCACCCAAACACACCATATGCAAGTATTCCCAAAGTAGAACTGTAGTGTATATATGTCATACATTTACATAACTGTTCCTGCATACTGCTGTGTAAACTCACCTCGGTCTCCAGAGCAAATACATTTAGTCTTGAATACATGTCTACTTCACTGAACAGAAATATAAATGCAACAATTTCAAAGATGTTACTAAGTTACAGTTCATATAAGGAAATCAGTCAATTGAAATAAATAAATTAGGCCCTAATCCAGGGGTGTCAAACTCATTTTAGCTCAGGGGCCACATGGAGTAAAATCTATTCCCAAGTGGGCCGGACCGGAAAAATGGTATATATATAACTTAAAAACAACAACTTCAGATTGTTTTCTTTGTTTTAATACGATCAACATACAACATCAAGCTGGAGCCTGAGGACAGTGTGTCCAAAATAGTACAAGCACAACATCACTATTAATCATAAAACACGTCAAGTTTATTTGAAAATTCTAAAGAAAAAGAACACACAAACACACAAGGCCTCAGTGATTAACAGAAGTATATCACAGATCACAGAACTATATCAGGGTGTCATTTCTCAGGCAGAAATGTAGATAAAAATAATGAAATCCTGTTCCCCAAACAAGTGCAAGAACCACAGAGTCAAGAATAGGTTAAATATACAAATAAAATAAAATCAATTAAAAACAATAGCACATCAACATAAAAACATATAAACATAAATCTGAAAGCGTTGCTCAAACTCCCGTAACAGTCCCGTTATTTTATCTTTGAACCGCTTCATGTCTGCCACATGTTGGGTCGCGCACACATTTTTCAGACAGGGGAAGTGAGCTGCATCACCACCGGCAAGTTGCGTCTCCCACAATGACAGCTTCAACTTGAAAGAACGTATGCTGTCATAA